TGAGAATACAACGTCAAGGATCGCGGATTTAGAATAGTAAAGTGAATTGGGGATTACCTTATTTGCCCGCAATCTCCAATGCTTTTGATATCTTCTGTGGGCATTCATTTCTACATTAACCGTGAACGGATCGCTTTCAGATGCACACCTCACTAGTGGGGTTGGTTTGCAGTTGGAGTTTCACAGTTGTTCACAGTTTAAGTCAAGGTGAACCCATATAAATTTCTTTCATAAACGTCATACTGTCAACAGCCTTACCTATTTAACCATGACAACTTAATGAGCAGCAGAAAATAATATACCCGCTCATACGTGTACTCGTGCCGCATTGCAATGCACTCAGAAGAGGGAGCGCTCATTCTTAAAGGGGCCACATCTGCAATGTTAGAAATAATATTAGCAGCAGTCTGCATAGCAACTAATTATTATTGCTAATATAGCAGGGGCAGCAGAAAGCACTTTAGTTGCATGAAATTTCAGTGATAATGCATGGATGGGCTACAGCAATTCTAGTATTTTCACAGAGTGTAGCAGCAGTATCCATAGAATCAGATTGTATTATTAGCGAATTATTAATAGCATCATGCATAGCAAATCAAAACATGCGTTTAGTTGCAGCAGCAGTAGGTAGACCGTAGTTTACATTCACATTTATTCATTTTGCAGACGCTTTTATCCAAAGCAACTTACAATTGCTGAAGTTTCAGTGACCATGGATGGTATGTGAACTCCTCAAGCGAATAGGCATCACTTGCGTTTCATTTATTTAAAAGGGGCTTAGCAATTCTAAGTACTCTAAGTACCCTGTAGCAGCAGTATGAATAGTTATTCAGATTGCATGTAGCGAATTTAATAGCAGCAGTAGCAGCAGTATATTCATATGTAATGTTAGAAATAATATTAGCAGCAGGAAGTCAAATTGTTGCTAATATAGCAGCGGCAGCAGAAAGTACTTTAGTTGCTTGAAATTTCAGTGATAACGCATGGGGTAAGTAACTCTTTTAAGTGAAATAGGCATTTAATTTTTTTGCTATTTAACAGGGCTTACAATAGATTTTGTGATCTCTTCAAAGTGAAATAGGCATTATTTGATTGCGTTTGCTTGTTAATAAAGACGCTTATAGCAATTCTAAGTACTTTTGTGCAGCTATAGCAGCATTATGCATTGCATAGCTATTCAGATC